ATTAAAAGTGATTATATTTTATGTATGAATTCTTCAATATTTCTTTAAATAAAAAATTTTGAAATTTATACAATATTTACAAAATTGAAAAGAAAATATATAATGGTTGAAAACAAATCAGTCAAAAAAATAAATACACAAATAGATAAAAAAAAATTTATTAGTAGAAAATAAAAATAATAAAATAGATAATTAAAAAATATACTCCATTAGCCAGGAAAAAAATTAGTACATTTGGAGTTGGTGCTGAGATTAAGAAAAATAAATATTTTAATAAAAAAAAGTGAAAAAAAAGTAAAATCGTAGTTCTAAGTATTTTTGAAAATTTAGTTATTAATTGAAAATAATAATGAGAGAATATAATAAGGTATTGATTGCAAATAAACTTTGAATGAAAAGTAACAATAAAATAATGATTTTTTCAAAATATTGACTTTTTTTACTTTTTCAAATATAGTAATAGAGTAAATTTAATGGATGAACGAAAAAATAAAATGAAAATAAATTTGACAAAAGACTAGAAATTTGAATATTATCTACAAAATTTAAAAAATATATTAGTATATAATAATCGAAGCCAAATTAATTAGAAAAAATACATTTACAAAAAGAATAAGAAATATGGTTCGTAAAAAATTAACACAACAAATAGTTTAAAAAATACACACATACACGGTACGAATAAAATAAAAATAAAATTTTTATATACTAAATTTTATCATAATTTTCAATATAAATTTCTCGAATATTCCTTCAAATCAAAAGAGTCGAAAATTTCACATAATCTACAAAATTGGGAAAAAAAATATTAGAAAATCATATTCAATACCAAATAAATTGAAAAAGGACACATAATTGATAACAATGAAAAAGAATTTATTGGTACAATATAAAAATGACACAATATATAATTTTAAAAAATACGTATATAATAAGAATGACTAATAAAATAAAAATAAATATTATATATATTTAAACTGATCATAATTTTTTCTCTGAATTTTTTTTACTATTTTTTAAAATCAAAATACTCAAAATTTCAGTATAATCTATAAAATTGAAAATTGTATTAGAATATAATACTCAAAATCAAATTTATTAAAAAAAGTATATACTCAATAAGAATGAAAAGTAATTGATTAAAAAAATTTAATAGTAGAAAATAAGAACAATATATACTCAATAAGAATGAAAAATAATTGATTAAAAAAATTGGCATATAAATCAATTTATAAAATTTGTATACTCATTAGAAAAAAAATGGAAAAAAAGTATAAAACCAAATACCCATAAATCATTATTCATTAATTAATATTATCCCAATTTCAATACTATTTACAAACATTATATATAAATCATGAAAATTTTAAATTCAAAATATATCAAAACCATTGGATCAAACTATTCTTTCGTGATGATAATAATTATTTATAAGTAACGTTCTACATTTGTTTCTTTAAACGTCGTAACAACAGATTTATTAATAAATCACTGAAAACAACTATTTCTTAAATACAATAATAATTAGTATATTTTTATTAGGGAAGTATTAATAGCAGAAAAAAAAAATAGAAAAAGAAAAAAGGGACACATAATTGATAACAATGAAAAAGAATTTATTGGTACAAATATAAAAATGACAAATTTTAAAAAATACATATACAATAAGAATGACTAATAAAATAAAAATAAATACTGTTTTATATATTAAAACTTATCATATTTTTTTTGTGAATTTTTTCACTATTTTTTAAAATCAAAAGACTCAAATTTTGGGTATATCTATAAAATTGAAAACTATATTATAATATAATATTCAAAATCTAATCTATTAAAAAAAGTATATATTAAATAACAATGAAAAATAATTGATTAAAAAAATTTAATAGTAGAAAATAAGAATATTATATACTCAATAAAAATGAAAAATAATTGAATAAAAAAATTTAATAGTAGAAAATAAGAACACGATAGATACTGAAAAAAATACACGCACAATATGAATGGAAGTTCTACAATAAAAATAAAATTGTTATGTATTAAAATTTATCATAATTATTATATAGATTTACTAAAAAAATTTTTAACTCAAAAAATTTAAAAAATATTACAATATAATACTTGAAACCAAAGAAATAATAATAATAAAAAAATACCTAATAAGCATGAAAAAAATTGATTAGCAAAAAATAAAAAAACACAATATATAATTACAAAAATACACATATAAAATAAGAATGAGAATACTAAAATAAAAATACAAATTTTATATATTAAAAGTTACTATAACTTTTTATATGGATTCCCAAAAATTCTTTCAAATAAAAAGATATATAATTTAGATACAATCTACAAAACTGAAAAATATATTAGAATATAATATTTAGAGCTAAACCCATTAGAAAAAACACATATCATATGAATGAAAGAAAAAAAAAATACTAAGAATTGAACAAAAAAAATTACTATTAGAATATAATACTTGAAACCAAATAAATTAGAAAAAATAGATATACACTAAGAATGAAAATGAATTGCTTAGTAAAAAATAAAAATAACACAATAGATAACTTAAAAAAAAATATACATAAAATAAAAATATAATTTTTATTTATTAAAATTTATCATAATTTTTTATATAGATTTTTTTTTGAATATTCTTTAAAATAAAAGACTCAAAATTAAAACATAATCTACAAAATTGAAAGAAAAAGCATAAAATAATATTCAAAACCAAATCAATTAGAAAAAATACATAATCAATAAGAATGATAATTAAGTATAAATTTTAACTTTGTTAATGGATAAGAGATCGAAATTGTAATTTTAAAAATACGGGGACTAAAATTGGCACAAAACCGAATAAAAATTATCAAAAATCATCATTTTAATAATATAAATACTAAAATTTAATTTGATTCGAATAGAAGATATAAAAAGTATTTTACCCATACAATTATATTAACAAAATGTTATTTTCTATAATTTTATAGTTTGTAAATATTTTTAACTTTATTATATTAAAACTTTTTTTTCCGAAAAATTACTTTTATATAAATGCATTCAAATATAAAATGAAACTATTTTTGTTTTAAACCTTTACTTATTTTTTAAGTCAATTCAAACAGATCGTAGTCAAAAATACAATTTTTTGAAGTATAATTAAAGAGAAATTTGAACCTAAATAAAATAAATGCAAATATTGTTGATATATATGGTATGTAGTTTGCCTAGCTTGGCTTGACCGTTGTTGTATGCAGATTATTGTGCTCCATTCAAAATCTTACTCATTATAATGCCGACTATTGAGTTTCCATTTTATAACAAAAATAAATAAACAAATAAAAATACTATTTTCAATACTATTTACAAACATTATATATAAATTATGAATATTCAAAATTCAAAATATATCAAAACCATTGGATCAAATTAATCTCCACCTTTCTTTCGGAATGATGATAATTATTTATAGGTAATGTTAACATTACCTATAAACGTCTTAACAATTCGGATTCATTAATAAATTACTGAAAACAACTATTTCTTAAATAAAATAATAATTAGTATATATTTATTAGGGAAGTATTAATAGCATGAAAATACAAATAAATGGGCATATAAATCAATTTATAAAATTAGTACACTCGTTAGAAAAATGAAAAAAAAATATAAAACCAAATACCCATAAATCATTATTCATTAATGAATATTATCCCAATTTCAATACTATTTACAAACATTATATATAAATCATGAATATTCTAAATTCAAAACATATCAAAACCATTGGATCAAGCTAATCTCCACTCTTCTTTCGGGATTTGATAATTATTTATAGGTAACGTTCCACATTTATTTATTTAAATGTCATTACTGAAAATAGCTATTTCTTAAATACAATAATAATTAGTATATTTTTATTAGGGAAGTATTAATAGCATGAAAATACAAATAAATGGGCATATAAATCAATTTATAAAATTAGTACACTCATTAGGAAAAAAAAGGAAAAAAAAAATATAAAACCAAATACCCATAAATCATTATTCATTAATGAATATTATCCCAATTTCAATTCGAATTTAGGTAGTTAGATATTTAATATTTTTTAGGGTAGCTATAATAATGAAAAATGACTTACATAAATTTTTAGCCGTAAATTCTTTTATGTTAAAAATTATATACAATTTAGTTAAGAATTTAATTAGGTGGCTAATTATTTATATTTTATATTTTATGATATATATTATTATGCTATTTACTAAATAAATTTATTTCTAATTTGGGATACCCTAAATGTTTTGAAATTTTTTTATCTATAGATATTTTTTTTCTCTTTAAATATAAGTTTTTTTTTTCAAAAAATTAAAAAACAAAAAGTAAGAGCAACATAGGAAAAAAAAACTCAAATGTAGAATAAAAAAAAAGAAAAAAAAAAGATGGGATTATTATACAATTTACCTTATCATTTTTATTTTTAAAATTTTATTATTATTAGTAATCTTTTGTATGTAAACAAAAAAAAATCACATTTGAAGAACGTGTAGATTGCTGCAAAATTTTTCAAAATTTTTCACATGGAAAAGCATACCTTCCAACGCTGTAATTATATTATCGTCACATTTTTATTCATATCTAATCTGTCACCGTAATTAAATTTGAGTAGGAAGCACCCTCACATGTTTCAGCACAGTGTGTACGCCGAGATTCGCTACCAAAACCCCTATAAAAAGCCGTAACAATCGACACAATCACTTCATCCCATTTTAATAGAGAGTAGGTTTCCGAAAGCGTCCATAAACTATCGACCCAGATTTTATTTACCCTTTTCTTTTCTTCGTTCTAATCCATACCCATCTTTTGAGTTTATTCTTTTACATCGAAAAGTAAAGCGCAACACTTTTTGACGCTTCTTCGTTAAGTTTTTGGTAATTTATTTCGCCTTAAATCTATCATTTTAGTGGAAGTCTCAGGAATCGCGAATCGAGCTTAGTTCCTCCTTGTTTCTAACATTGCAGATCGACGTTTCGTAGATCTAAATAGAAGTATTCGCAAGACCATCTCAGGTAAGTATTTTGTTTTAGTTAAATCTTTGTTTGCCAATTAATCTTATGATGGTTTGATTTCAATCTCATTGTCACGATGTAATGGATGTGTTTCTTTTGAGTTTTTACTCGGTTCTTTATTTTTAGAATTTTACGTTCCTGGAAAAAGTATTTATTTTTCTCATAAAATTTCGCATAAAAAATTATTTAAATAAAAAAACCAAACTTCTAAACTCAATCTAGACCGAAAAGAAACACACCCAATGTTCTTAATGGTATACAAAGTTGAATTAAAAGGGGAGAAATATTAAATGGTCCTTTGTGTTGATTACTCATAATTTTTTTGGTAGGGTTTATTACTTTGTGGCATTTGTTGCAAATATTTGTTGAGATTGTGTCTCTGAAACTCGGGTTTTCAAAAGCTGATGTACAATCTATAGTAGCCAAACCATTGGATCTTATTAGAACTTTGAAGTTAAACGTGTTTGGATGAGGGTAGTTCTAAGATAGTAACTAGCGGCAATAAATAAAAAAACAAAAGAAAAAAGAAAGATTAAAAAAAAACAAAAACAAAGTTTGATGTATCTGTTCTATATATTGTAGGAATTTAATGATCTTTGTTATAGCCAAAAAAACATGTAGATGACATAATTGATGTATTACCTTTTCCCAACACATCATCTAATTAATTATTTCATTTCTTCTAATGTGCGATATACGTTCAAGTGTCGTGCCATTCATAAGAAGATTTATACAAGATTTACTTGATAATCATATGAATTTATTCAGTGAAATGACAAATCTCTTTGTATAGAAATCATGAGCCAAAGAGAATTGATTGATTTGAACTCAACTGCTGCCGAAGAACGCGAAGAATTGCAGATGGCGCTAACTGAAGAGCGAGAACTGCAGCGCAAGCAGTACCACCGGTGCACCCCCGAACAAACCAAAGAACTTGAGGAGTAATTTTCTTTTCACAACTTTATATATGTAAAAGTTATGATATATAAATATAGTGATTAAAATTTTTTGACAGGATATAAATAAATAAAATACAAATCCTATTTAAAAGGTCAAAAGTTGCAATTTACGTGCTTTAACTTGTTGACATATTTCATCAAATGTACTAATTACTCTTATTTTTGAAAATTACTCCTTTTGTTTAGTTTGCTAACTTTATATCTTTATATATTGTAGATTTTTTGCAGAGTGTCCACGCCCGTCCAAAAAGCAACGGGCCGAACTTGGCCAAAACTTAGGAATGGAATCATCGCAAGTGAAGTTCTGGTTCCAAAACAAGCTCACCCAAACAAAGGTAACAAAATATACTCCCTTCGACCCGGATAATTTTTTTTATTGTCTCCAAAATTTATGTCTAAATGTATTTATAGTAAAATTTTATCTACCGACAATTTTATTATCCATATTTTAACAAATAATAATAATCAATTTGTCATTACTTTTTCTACTAACTTTATTATTATTATTATTATTATTATTATTATTATTTATTAATTTTCACTTTTATTTTAATTTTTACATATCCAATTTTTACATTAAAATAATATTAGTCTTAGTTCCCGAGCCCGTGTAATGTAGCTTGAGCCCGGAGGGAGGGAGTATTTCATAATTTTTTATGATCTTATTTTTCATATAAACATTTTCCTTATGATTGTAAACAAATGCATATATGAATACTAGTGTTTTCGGGGTTTAATATATTACTCTTCTTCTTCACTTTGATATTGTGTGAATATAATCATTTCGTAGATTCATCAAGAGCGTGAGGAGAATGCCCGTCTGCATGCCGAAAACAACATGCTTCAGCATCAACTGCTGAACTACAAAGAGGTTCTTGAGAACCCTTGCTGCAATGCTTGTAGGATGAAGAAGAGGCTGGCCAATGCAACTCCGGAAGCCCGCAATTTAATCCTCGAGAATGATCGGCTGAAAAGGGAGGTACATATACAGATTAAGAGTACAATTTTATTTTGCATTTTCGGAATTTTTTTTCACATTTATCATTGTAATACCTTCTTTATGTGCGTAGCTCGAGCAAATGGCCGAAGTCATTGCGAAATATGTTGGAAAGCCCGTGCCGAATGTTGCTGCAAGTTCATCTGCCCGCCTCCCTAGCAAATTCAACAAATGAAGGTTCCAAGAAAGAAGGATGAAGAAGGATGAAGAAGATTGAATGTTCATTTGCTTTTGTTCCGGATTTGGTTTTTCTTTTGCGTTCTTATGAATTCAGCTCTGTTTGACTGCTCTATTTAATTATGTTTTCAACTTTCTCGCACTATTTTTAGGCAAACTTTCACCCTAATCAACATCATTGTTGCACTTATTTTTCATTTAAAATATTGTGTGTTTTTTTAATTACTATCAAATTTCCTTATATTTCTATTATTCATCAAAATATTTTCCCTGAAAACATTATATTAAACATATATATATATATTTTTTATGTTCTATATTCTATAAAAAATCAATTTTACATTCACATTATCATATTAACATCTATTTATATCAAATCATTTAATTATTCAAATTTAAAATTAATTTTTACTGTTCAAATTGCAAAAAAAAAAAATCCAAACCTCCAAACAAACACACCAACGAAAATGACCAAAAAAACAATCTAAACTGAAAGCATCCATTAATATTGGTTATAATAAAGTATAAATTATCAAGAACTTAAGTGTCACATAATGTAGCCAACATCAAACTACATTTTAACTGAATCTAGAAGCACATTGTAACTTAATAGTAACATAATCAATGGCGGATCCAAAAAAATTTTTTGGTGGGGCCCAATTTTTTTTTTAATATAAATTGTATATAATAATTTTAAAATTATATAATATAATGACATTTTTTAAAAAATTACAAATAAATTTTTAGTTTGTTTTATCTAATTTTTTCGAACATTTTTAAATATTTGGAGTATTTGAACCAATTTTTATAAGTATTTGAGTTAAACATAAATAATAATATTTTTATTAAATTTATAAGGGTGACCAATTATTTAAATTTTAAAAATTATACAAATACTGCATAATAAAAATACAAAATTCAAATAATTAGGGGGTCAAACACCCTTCAGCCCCACTACTAGCTCCTCAACATAATTACATAAAGAGAGAATACACTACCATTCATTTCCGAGAGCCAAGATAGTTTCCCTTCGTAAAAAAGTTTTCAAATTACACAATACTCCTTGATATTTTATTAAGCTAGGGAGTTCTAAATTCAATAAGCTAGTAAGGACAACAATTTGCCGTTGTTGCTGAGGTAGCGGAGACACGAAAAATGACACTCCACGATGTTAACATGACTACTAGCTAGGATGACTAAGTGTGAGTAGACGAGCGCAAATTAATACCTCAAGTTGGAGAGGTTGCGAATAGACCCGAGAGTGGGAGTTGGAAGGTAAATAAACACGAGCAAATAGTTATGGGCGACCAAGAAATATGGTTTTACACGTGGCTGGTCCTGACTTTCGAAGGGCCCGGGACGAAAAAAAAAAGCCTCTAAATATATATAAATAATATATTTTTATTTATAATAAAATATAAATAATTAAATAAAAAAAATATTTTTGGATTTTTGGATGAAAAATAGTATAAAAATTTATTTCTACCACCAAACTACAACATTTTCTATTCATATATATCAAATAAATATTATATATAAAAATTATACATATATAACATAAATATGTAACGGACCCTTTGTTTACCGTGGGCCCTGGGCGGACGCCTCTCGCGCCTGGGCCAGGGCCGGCCCTGGTTTTACAGAGTAATGGCAAGAATCCCATCTCAGCAAAGTTCTTATTGTGGTATGTGGCAAGCAATGTTGACAGTGATGACAAAAACAAGGCCAAAGCCGGCTTGAGATAAGGGCGAGAGCGACCCTCACCCGAAGCCCATATGTATTGGGGGCTCTTACACTCAAAGTTATAATATAAATGATTTTTTTTATATAGTTATTTATTAAATAAAATATAATAAACAATATTTAGAAGAATACTATAGAAAATCTTAATAAAAATATAATACAAATTTATATATTCATATTATTAAAATTTAAATTATTTACAAATATTTTTAAAATGATAAAATAAAAAAAATAATATATTCAAATTAATTTCGATCAGGCCAAAGTACATTAATTAAAGTATCTAAAATAGTACTATATCTGTCAAATTTTAAGGATCTCATTTACTTTTGCGTGTTGATCTTTGAATTCGAATTATTATATCAAAATTTAGTACAAATTAAAAAAAAAATTGCAACAATATTTTCATTAGTGTCTTATAATACTAATAGAAGACCTTTGTACAAAAAAAATCATACAAACATAAGAATATTTTTAATATTAAGTATAATAATGCAAAAAATAAATGTGACCATTAGAGACGAACAGATAGAGTATAAATTATTTAAAATATAAAATAGACGGAATAGCATCATCATTTCTTAGTGATAATATTTCCCGCTACCACTTGCTTCATCACTCTAACATTCACTTTCATCGTTAGATCGATACTATATTGCATAAGGATAAAATGGACGGTCTATTTGAGGCGTAATATAACTCTTGTTTGTTAGTTCTGGGCTTATTGACTTTTTAAAATTTAGAAATCTCATAAAGAAATTTCATCATTTAAAAGAAAATAAATATTTTTAATTTGAATTATATAAATAAAATACATCTTTTTTATTTCAAAAAATATATGCAAACCTTGTCTAATTATTTATTTCTTTTCATAATTGCTTGCAATTTTTTTTATTTTTAATTCTCAAATATTTTTCCAACGAAACACTTTACGGGGTGGAGCTGACGAAGGGGAGATAGAGATGGATGACCTATGTAAAAGAAATAAAATTGGATTAAATTTTGTAAATAAATAAATCACTTTTTAGAAGAGTCAAAAATATATTATTAGAATTTGTAATATTTAAAAAAAAAAGAAAAGAAAATAGGTACCTTTGAAATTTTTTGAAATCATAATATTTAATTTTGATGGCAAATATTATTATCTTACCAATTTTGGTTATATATTTGGAAAAAAAATAAATTAAGTAGTAATTTACTTTCTATATGCGTGCGTACGTCGTGCGTGCCGCCACGCACATTCTTAATATCAATAATTTAAAAATAAATAATTTAATTTTGATGGCAAATATTATTATCTTACCAATTTTGGTTATATATTTGGAAAAAAATAATTTAAGTAGTAATTTACTTTCTATATGCGTGCGTACGTCGTGCGTGCCACGCACATTCTTAATTATATATATAGAGTTTTTTTTCTTTTTTTTTCTAAATTTGGTTTTAGTTACTTTTTTATGCAAATCTTTTATTAAAATATTTATATTTTATTTTTCAATATATTATGTCCGATATATGATAATTTTTTTAAAAATTATTTAAAAAAATAAATTTTATATATTTAAAAATAACAAATATAATAAAAGAAATTTGAGACCCAATTAATTTTCAAATCTCCACAATTCAAATAACAATTTCATGAAATTACATGAAAATCTCAACAAAGTGAATTATATTTTTCCTCCAATTATAATGATTATATTTATGAATAGTATGCTATTATTTAGATATCAAAGTCTAAGCATAGTATTCATTTTACAATAGTGATGAAAAAAAATCATTAATTATTTTGCATCATTCTCAAAAATTTTAATTTTATCTACTCCCTCCATCTCATTGAAAGGGTTATATTTACTTTTTGCACATAAATTTTTTAATATTAGTATTATATTGGATTGTAATAAAAAAAAAAGACAAAAATACCCCTATTAGTATGATGTAATATAAAAGTAACCGTGTTTTGGGAACGAACGAAAATAGAAGATGGGAGGGAGTATTATATATTTGAAATTTTCTCTTTATATCTTTTGACACTATTTTCCAACTATTATTCGTATTCTCCCAATTTTGATAAGAAATAAAAATAAATAGTATATTATTTAATATATTTTTATAATTTTTTATGTTTAATTATTTTATTTTATATAGTTATTATGATTGTAGAACAGTAGAATATAAATTGGTAACCATAAATATAAGATGGTTGGTATTTCAACTAATAAAGATAAATATATAATAATTATTTAATATAGTATATTATATTATTTCTATATTTTATTAATTAATATTTTAATTACTATTATGATTGAAGAATTAGGGTTTCAAGTATCTATACATTATTAAAGATTTGGTATGTCAATTTATAAATAATACTATATAATAACCATTTAATATTTTTATAAAATTTATAATATTTTTATGTTTATGAACTTTAGGTTTCTATTTATCATTATGATCAAAGGATTGAAGTTTTAATTAGTTTGCCAAAAAATATAAAAGTTTGTTATTTCAATTTTATATAATATTCAATTTTAGTTTTTATTTATAAATGAATTTTTTGGCATTGTTTGTTCGCCTAATTTTTTTTTTGAGATATGATTTTCAAAATATATATTTTATCATCACACAAAAATCAACATGCAACATAAATTCTGTATACCTCATATAAAAATAAAAATAAAAATAAAATTAAAACACTAAACAAACACACTATCAAATAAAATTTTTTCCTTTTCATTGTACGGTTCTCAATAGAAATACAACATTTTTTCTTATAAAATATTAAATTAAAATATTATATAAACCAAAATATAAATTACCATATCAATTTCAAATAGAAACCAAACGAGTACGTGAGTGTTGTTTACTATTTTTATTTAATGGTGTTTCATATAAATATATATATATATATATTTTAATAAAAAATTTATAAATTGATGGAAAAAAAATAATTGAAAAAGTAAACATAACCAAAATAATACTTCCCATGTCATTGAAATTATTGACCACTTTTCTTTATGGGTTGTCATCAAAAAATATTTTCGATTTCTTTTTAAGTAAAATCATTACATTTTGTAATTTTTTACTATAATGAAAAAAAAAATAACAATTATTACTCACTTTTATTATCACACGTGTCTGTGTCCGATCAAATTAGCACACTTGCAATATAACATTGAATATCAAAATTCATTTTTTCTTAAAAAAAAAATTAATTCATTCAAAGGTATTAAAATATCTCCCTCCTCAGTTATGGAT